CAATCCAATACCAAAATACCAGCACAAGAAACTAATTGCTTTATAGGTATGCTCTTAATACATACAAATTAAGAGTCTATTCTGCATTCCCACCCAAATATGACTTAATGGAAAGCAGGGAGGGATTTAACTGGAGTCTACTAACTACACCCAATACTTTAAGATACATGAATGAATAATCAATTGCATGCTTAACTTCATCTGACCTACAGGACTAAATTTAGTACTGAAAGGCAAAAAGGACTTATGCCTATTAACCATACTATTGAGCTATGAAAGCCATTAAAAATTCATTTTGAGAAAAATCCAATGACACACTGCTGAAGAACGAAACACTATTTTATGAAACAACTCCCAATCCACAATCCAATATAAATCATATCAGGGTGGGTTTACGAAACTAACAATCATTTTATATTTCACCATATGCATGAACTACAAAGAATGAACTTAAGATTCATCACAGAAGCATATGCAATTCACCAAAGTCAAGAAAAGAAGTTGCTTCCTAGCAGAGGAAAATGCAGCACATTGTAAATAAATAATTTTCAAATAGAACAACATGCTGAAAGTAATCCACTTCCCCAAACGGACAAATCCTTACAAACCATGACAACACTTCAACTTCCACTGCTGAGCACCAGGTTTCTATCTTTCAAAATATTTTTTCTTCTTTTCAACAACCAAATAATATTGAAACTTGGGATTTAGAATATGCTTGTATGTAAAAATCAGAATGAAGTCTAAATGACAGCCAGTTGCTTACACTGCAAGTGTTCTTGTCCAAACATAGTGGAATTAAATTCTCGTCACACCATATATAAGAAATACAGCTTTTAGCTGTTTCCTGCTCTTCTTCCTGCTGTTTGGGGGCTACCAAGGTCTGGTAAGTGACTTTCTTTTATTTATTTTTAAGTTTCTGACCTTTTTTCCCCTCCAGAAGCCTCTAAGGGGAGGGAGGGGGCACTTTTCCCCCTGCCTGTAACTTGAGGGAAGTTCGTATGTCGAGTCCTTATTTCCCCTATAGGGCAGGTTCGTAAGTTGAATTGTTCGCAAGTAGGGTTGTTCGTAAGTCAAGACCCCACTGTATTGTATTTAATTCAAATTCAGAGAGGCACCCAAGTTTAAGATGCACCATAATGTATTCCAAAATCTTCTAAAAGCATGGCATTTCAGAAGCTGTTCAGTATCCAGTTATCAACAGTAACTAAAGTATAAAGTTCAGATTGAACCACAAAATGTAAATATAATGCACCTTGCAAAGATCTTACATCATTTATGTTACACTGTTTTACCAGTACTTCTCTATTTCTTATCACTTACAGGATTGCTTATGTACAACGGTCATTTTTCCACTACAAGCCGAAAACAAGCTATGGTTTATCACTGGCTTACTGGTTAACAATCAGAATTTCTGGTTTAGACAGCACACTAAACAGACAATGGGTCAAAGATCCATGGCTTGTTTAGCTATTTCCTCATGCAGCAGGAGTGATCAGCTGGCAACCATGATGATGCTACTCAAATGATGTCACACCAAACAAACCTCAGATAGAAAATATGCAGTTTGTTTAGCAACTCTCACTTGCAAGAGAAAGCCAAGCAGGAACCATGAGCAGCACAGTGCATTACCACACTGGCACATTCCCAATATGGTGACAACAAAATGTGCTCAAGTTAATTATAAACTTTACTCCCACCTGGTCTCTCCCTAAAAAGTCTGCTGCCTTCCTATGATGACAGGCAATTATCTGGGTAGAATTTTAAATCTGATAAAAGGAGATGCCATTTTAAAATGACTTCTTATAAAAAAGATAATATACAATACAAAATTATGTGTTTCTCTACTTCTATTCAATATCATCCATAGGCAAATCAGTTTGAATTTCAGAACACCATATCAGATAACTTCAAGTTGTTAAAAGATGATTCATTCAAGTTAAGGGTGACCCTGGGATGAAACAATATATGGTGATAAAATAAACCTGACTTGAAGGTTTATTTCATATACAACCCAGATTTTTGACACTACGTTCAAATTCTTATTTATCTAAACAAGGATAAATCACAAAATCTTATACTACAATACAAACTGCTTTGTCTTTGTGGCTGGACAACACTATGTTAATTCAGCAGAAACAAGTTCAATATTAGTACCTGGTCATTATATGTACATCCTGGAACTAATTCAAGGGCTGAGTGCACATTCAACCCTCACAATCTATTCTGTGTCCCAAACCAGCCTACACACAGTTATACTGTGATCAACTAGCACAATTACTATTCCAGTGCAGCTGTCAATCTGCATGCTTGATTCCTGTTTCAAAGGATATTTTCCTCCATGTAAAAAAAGCTTCAATTCTGATTAAGTCAAAAGCAGTAACAAAGCAAGTACCAGGCTAGTAGCCAGAAAAGATAATGCGTAACAATAAATAACATTCAACATGTTCCTAGAACACCCAATCTCTTTAAACTCATTTTATGAGGGGCTCTGTTTCCAAGTTGGTTATTCCACTTTAAGCAAGCACTTGAATGAAATCTACGAGTTATCCATGCTACGTATTTACCACAGGTCTTGTGCTGAATTAATGAATTAGCCAAATAGTTGGCTTCTGATATCCATACTAACTTGATGAAATCAGCATAATTATTACATATTTTAGAGCTAACCCTTTGGAAAAGGAAACCATAGCGAAGCCCACATTTCAACAATCTAGTTGCAAGAGGACAAAACTGATGAACTGACAGCTGGTTTTATCTTTCCGACCTGCTGCTGCATTTGGTTCACTCTGAGTTTGTTTCAAACATTCACCTAAAGCAAAGCAATCAAAACTAAGAAATTTACTGTATACCAACAAAGTTTATCAATATGTTCTCTGCTACTTTTATTTGCTATGTTTTTTTTTGAAGTTTTGGTATATTTTAAATATTTTATACTGTCCAACCAGTTTTTCAGCATATAATGCTGCTAGCAACATAACCTGCAAAAAGTACAGACGGTCTAATTGCTCCTCAATGCTTTCTACAAAACCTCCACATTCTGTCTTACCTCTTTCTACTTTGTTCAACCAGAATGTTCATTCATACACTTATAATAAATGCATCCACTGCATCATTTCTAACATACCAACCTCTTAAGTCTCAATACAATCAGAACTATTCTGGGAGCATTTGGTGAGGAACTATAGTCAGGCACAAAGAACTGCCAAACCACCGATATGTACTATTTAGGGCTACTTCTGGATGTATTGAACTAGCTACACAGCAAGGAGAAACTGCTATTTATCTGAATACAATGTACATAGTTCAATAAAAATGTGTTGTGTGTGCCTTATGTTCCACCAAGTCAGAAAAAACTTTTAGCAACCCTAATGGGTTTCAAGATAAGTGAAATATTTAAGGAGTGGCTTTGCCCCTGCCATTTCCTGGCTGAGAAAGAATTCTAATCCACATCTTCTGAGTCCTAGTCTGTCCATTACATCAGTGGTCCTCAAACTGGGGTCCCCAGATGTTCTTGGACTGCAACTCTCAGAAATCCTGGTCAACACAGCAAGTGGTGAAGGCTTCTGGGAATTGCAGTCCAAGAACATCTGGGGCCCATTTTGAGAACCACTGCACTACATCACACTGGACAGGACTAAAAAGGTACCTACATGTTACTTTTTAAGACGGCCCACCTGTACGCATGAACAGCCAATCTGCAAACAGCTGAACACAATATGACCTTAATCTGGTTCAAGTAATCCCCTACCATTCTACTGAATACACACACCTGAAGAAATACCAATTTACACTTCTGCTTTATTTTAACACATGGACTTACTAGAACAATTTCACAAGAGAGGGAAAACCAGACACCATAAAACTAACATTAATCCTACATAAAGTAGACCAATTTAAATGAATGAAAAGTTGTCACAACTTAAGCCCAATTTACATTTACTGAACTAATCTATGTAGGAGTAATAGTAGATCTAGCTCCATGTATTTATCATAACAAATAGTATTTTATAGGCTTATTTCTCCAAGCATGTAGCAGACATTTTAGAGATATATGCTTGGCCTTCACACATTGCCTTTTATCATAGCAAATCACAGGGCTAGTGCTGCTGAATGAAACATGAAAAGCAAACAAAAAATTATTGACTATTCCAAAACAATTGTTCTATTAAATTATTTAAGATTGTTAGATTACGAATAATAACATTTTAAAAACAAAGCCTGCAATATCATGACCACATACAGCTGAGTACACAGGGGCAAACAAGTACATTTCTACACGAGTTTAATGGATTTAGGCTATATTACCAAACTGAGTTTTTAAACTCCAGAAAAAGTTTTAATTCCCAGGGGATTCTACTTCAAGTTCTTGAATCTCTACTATTCTATGAAAAGAAGTTATCTGTTCACTTAACATGAAGTCACTACACTTCATTTGTAGCATAATGAAATACTACATACAGTTCATAATTAGAATGTTATACTTTTGCTGGGGAACAAATCTAAAATTAAGCCAAGCAGTATATCCTAGTTTTAGAGCATCCATTAACAGACAGAACAAGGTAAATTTCACCTAGTTTCCTCCAATCAATACATTAAAGAAGAAGCAGAGAACTTTATTTCCCTTCCTCTTCATTCTGGAGTTGTCCTCCCCCTTGTTCTCTCACTAAATTTGCTCAAAACAAATTTGAAGACACACCCCCTGAGCAGATTTTATGATGGATGAGAGTATACAGAAAAAAGGAAATAACTCCTGAAAAATTCACCTCTTCCTGCTAATGGGAATCCTTCAGTCAGCAGAATTGGCTGACTTTTTAAAATCAAAGTCAATCAAGGTTTTTTTTTTAACCAGACACAAGAAAATTATGCAAATATCTAAAAGATTCTCAAGACCAATCAATCTTTTCCATCAGTATCAAATGGAGGTACAACACTTCTCTTGGGACTATCAACTAGGGATAAAAGGCAATTCTAACTCAAAAAAGTAATCTAAGGCTTACCTGCAGCTCACACCAAGCAACCTCCACTGTGGTCTCAGTATCCAGCCCCTTATAGACAGTCTTGAAGGAACCTCTGCCAATTTCGATATCAAACTTAAGAAAACGGCCATCCGGAGAAACAGCCACGGCTTTGGTCTCCAGTTCCTCGATATCTTCCTGCTGTTTACTCCTCTCTTCTTGCACATCTCGGGCAGAAGCAACCGTGCTTCCTGCTGTACTGGTAGGGGGCAGCGCGGTGGTCTCCAAGCCCTCTTCCTTCGCCAGCAGCGGGGCAACCTCCTTCGCTACCAGGACTTCTTGCTCGGGTGGCGCATCCGCGGGTGGAGGCAGGGGTGACGACTGCTGCAGGAGCAGCAGCGTGGAGGCCTGGCTGACAGTGACAGAGGCACATGCCGCCTGGTTGACAGATTCCGGAGGCGAGCCCAACACTGGCGGGATGCTCCCTCGAGCGGTGGTGGTGGTGGCCGGGGGGGTGTGTGTCATATTTGTGACTGCAACCTTTATTTTCTTATTGATTGTTGATTCGGTGGTGGTGGGGGCGGGGGCGGCGGCGGGAGGCGCGGCGGGTTGAAGCCGCGGAAGCTCCAGCGCGGTCGCATTGGAGTCACAAATGACGCTCCGGCGGAAAAAACGGTGTTCGGTGGCGGCCGCGCCACGGGTGTCTTTGTCCATGGTGTGGCGACGTCGGCGGTATTCTTCGCCGCGGCCTCCGCCGCTGCCTTCCGCGCCGCCTTCCGGGTCGCCGGCGCTGGCAGAGGCAGAAGCGGCCACGGAGACCCCGAGCTTCTCCCCAACGGAGCTGTCCGAGCTAGAGCCGTTCTTGGGCGGGGGCGGCGGCGGAGCCAGGAAGCGAGGAGTTGCCGTCGGCCCGCTCTCCGGAGCGCCCCCCGACATGGTGCCGGAGAGGAGAAGAGCGAGGAAGGCGCGGGAGCGGTGGCAGCAACAGCAGCAGAAGGAGGAGGAGGAGGAGGAGGAGGAGAAGCACCAGCCGCGGTTGCCGCGGTAAAAGCTGCCTGGAGGCGGGTCAGTGCGCGGCTGGGACCACGCCGAGGAGCTGCTCTCGCTGTTGCTCTCGCTGCGGCGGCGACGGCCGCGGCGACGGCTGTTGCCGAGGCGGCTCTGGCAGACTCCTCACGGCCAGAAGGAAAAGCGGCAGCAGCAGCGGCAGCAGCGGCTCTGGTTGTTGCTGCTGCTTTTGCTGTTGCTGCTGCTGCGGGTGCTGCAGTCGTCGAGCGGGTTGGGCCGGCGGCCGGGTGCCTCCCCGGTCAGTGTCCGCATCCATCCTGCTGCAGTGGGGAGCCGAGGAGCAGGGCCGACATGGAGCGGGAGCGGCAGCGAAGATGGGCACCGAGGAGACGGGGTGGGGAAGAGGAGGAGGAGGAGGACGGAGCAGGAGAAAGAGGAGGGGGGAGAAGGAAAGGCCGGGGGAAGAGCCTCCGACAGGCCTTGGGCGGGGTGGGGGGTACGGCAAGGCTGGGCAGGCCCTTCCCCAGCGGGGCCGCGCTCGCTCGCTCGCTCGCTCTCCCCCTTCTCTCGGTCTCGCTCCACTCCTTGCCTCAGTCCAAGTCCCGCCGGCGTCGTCACCCGCCCGCTCTCTCAGGGCCCCGGCCGCGTCCTCACCGCCTCCGCTCTCGGGGACGGCTTCTTCACCTCCTTTCGTTCCCACACTCGTTGCCGAGACTCCCGCCTCAGCCTCGTCGTCGTCGTCGTCGTCTCTCTCTCTCACCCAGAGGAAGAAGAAGAGAAGGAGGAGGAGGCCACCCGCCGCCTCACACTCCGAGAGTGACTGGCCTGAAAAGGCGGGGCAAAGAAGCGGGCGGGGAAGGAAGAACGAGGCGAGGGAGAGAATGTAACCGAGAAGCCGAGCCTTGTCTTGGCTTCTTCTTCTCGCCCGTCTTCCCTTCCTGCGTTCTTTCCCGGTCGCTCCTGAGGAGAATGGGGGATGGGCCTCTCCCTCTGACTGCCACCTCTCCCAATCCGGGCGAACTCGCCGCGCTAAATGGCGACTCTGCCAGAAACCAGCAGGCACGCACGCGCTCGCTCGCTCACACACACACACACACGCACAGAGACAGAAAGGGAGAGAGCGAGACTGTCTCCGAGACCACGCCCCCTTTTTCCGTCCGCACTCTAACGCGCCTGCGTCAACGCCGCTTCGCCTTCTCGCCTGGAGCGGGAGATGTAGTTGTAGTCGGCCTCGCGAAGCGCCCAGCGGCCGTCTGGAGGCTTCCCAGGGTGCATTGCGCAAGCGGCTTATGGCGAGGCCGACAAATGGAACTGTGGGGGTTGTAGTTTTTATTTCAGCAATAAACCGTGCTTCGTGATCTCGAATGAGAGCGCGTGGTAAGTCGAGAGCGGTCGGTAGGATGGGGCTGGGTGAAGGCAAGGAAAGCGCTTCATACAGTAGATGAAGTCTGGAACGCTGGAAGAGTTTCCCTCAGGCTAAAACACATCCTCAGTTTTGTTTTTTGTTTTTCACTTCTGACAGACAGACTTAACTGGGAAAAAACGTGTACTGTATCTTCATTGATAACCATCAGCCTGGAACGCTGGAAGAGTTTCCCTCAGGCTGAAAGACATCCTCAGTTTTGTTTTGTTTTTTTCCACTTCTGACAGACAGACTTAACTGGGGAAAAACGTGTACTGTACCTTCATTGATAACCTTCAGTATGGATTCAGCGACTTTATTCGGAAGTTGTCATTTTTCTATAATTTTTTAAAAATCAAATAGACCAAATGTGCATTCAATTTTAAAAATAAAGTGCCCTTTCGGGTTAAAATCCTATGAATACTAACCTGGAAATAGGCCCCTTTGAAAAGAGAGGAAAATATCTTTCCAGAAGGCATTTACTGCCTGCAGGAGATGGTACAGTTGGTCACGTGTAGGATTCACCCCTTCTAACATAACAATAAAGCAGGATTTAAAATAAATGAAATGTTTATCAAGTGGTCTAGTGCATTACACCAAATATGTTGTAATGTTGTAAGCCACCCAGAGACCTTTGGGTAGTGTGGGCGGCATATAAGTTAAATAAATAAATAATAGGTATATTTTGTGCCACATACTACTTCAGAGATTTCTTCCCAACCCTGCTTATTAGTATTTTGAGTATCTTCTTGCTGAAAGCAGTCCATAGTGACTGAGAGGATGGACTTGCTTGTGTGGGGCTCATGTTGGCTTGGATCTGAGGTTGGTGCAATCCTCTACACATTTAGCAGAAGGCCTGAAGTCAGAAGAGACTTTTTTCTGAGAAGACAGGTATAGAGCTAAATTCTTGTTAATTATGCCTACACTACAGCACAATTAACCAAAATGCCATTTATTTCTATGGGTCTGCTCTAAGAATAAATTGGCAGTGCAGTTGTACCTCAAAGATATGTCAGTTCTAGAGGATTAGGAATAAGCACAAATCTTTTTGCTCTTACTCCTAATACAGTACCCAACAGCAACAGAAGTCCCCTTATACTGTATCAGGAAAACTGCCTTTTGTGTCAGCATACCTATGTTTTTTTCCCCAGCAAAACTGCTACATTCGGCCTTCAGAAGAACCAGAAAAGGAATACAGTGTGATGGAAGAGCTATGACAAACCCAATCCTCCTCCAGCCCAGAGACAAGGGCTGTAGTGCTGCCACAAAATTATACCAGCGCAAGGCTGGTTGTCCCAAGTAATTGCTACCATCTTTAAAATACGAGGAGTTTGAATTTAGCACAGCTTCAGCTGGCCTAGTGTCAGCTGTGTTAGCTTTCAGCCATCTTGGCTTTTTAGGATTCTGCTATAAATTGGGATCAAAATTATTGTATTTGGCTTATATCTGCCTTATAGCATTTTTAAAATCAATGGATCTTAAGGAATCCTTCTGTGTTTTAAGTACATTTTTAAAAATAGTTTTTATTTTATGACCTTTGGAACCTCAGTGGTCTGTATATGGAGTGAAATATGAGTGTTATTTCATGGCCCTTCAGCCTTGTTGCATACAATTCTGTTCTCACGATCTGTGCCTATGTGTATACACAAACACACCAAATGACAAGAATGCTTCATGCATTTTATGAAGTGAACTGTAAGTCAACAACACTTTGTGCCACAATGAATCTTATGCGCCTTCAGTTTTCAGACGGTCTTCCTACAGATTAATAACATGGGCCCCTGTGAAGACAAATGTTACTATATATGGTTAGAGAAGTAATTCTTCTTCCTCTCTCTCATTATTTGTTCAAATGTCATTTATACTACTCAGAAAACAAGAGACAGTCCATTCTTTGTGTTTGGCAGGTGCATTGTTTCCCAATAATCTTTTAAAAAGCAGTATAACTACCCAGAGCTAATTTTGTTAATGTTCCTATTATATTAAAAATGTAGACATGTCAAAACAGAGTTACAAAAATTTACATATGAGACTCAGGCAAAATAGCCATCCTGGCCAACCTGTGATAGAGCCTACAGCTACAAGTAATTTATTTTCATGCAGTACATTAAGAGGACTTTGGTCATGAACTTTTTTTATTTTTTATTTTCCCCTCAAAAATTGTTGGACTGAATAATTAAAAGAGGTGTATTTCGGTAATATATCATTGATACCATTGTAGCTTGGTTCCAGAATTTGTGTGTCAGCATTGTGTATGTGTTTCAAAGAAATTAAGTGAAGGATATTTTATTCAGCTATCCAACTTTATTACAGAAAGTTCTGAGATAATTTTCAGATTTTAAAAACTGCTACAGCTGAAGGATACATCGTTCCATACTGGAAGAGCAGCCAATACTAACATATTTTGGAACATCATGATTGGAGAAAGGGAAGAACTGAGAATGGCTTAACAGTGTGAGCAATGTTTATCTATCTACACCAGTTCCTTTTTTTTTCACTCCACAGTAATATTTTCTTTCTCCCCAGAATAGTCCAGTGAAATAAAAGAAGCCAGAAAAAATAATTCTTTTGCTCTGTGTTCTATAGCAACTGTAATTGAAATCAGTTCTTCTTTCCAATGTGTGCAATATTTAGCTTTGGCTGACTAGATAGCTCAGTGGTTTAGGTATCTGACTGTGGAGGCAGAAGCTAGGAGTTTAATTCCAGATGGTGCCTCCTGCAAATAGAGTCTCCCTGTGTGGCCTTGGGCGAGCTGCACAGTCTCAGGGTGTCTCCAGAAGAAGGGAATGGTAAGTCACTTCTAAGTATTATTTACCTGGGAAACCCTGAAAAGCGTCACCATAAATCAGAATTCACTTGTTGGCACTCTATTATTAATAATACAGTATTTAGCTTTCACATAACCAGTTACGTGGTGTTTTGTTAAATATTCCAAAGCAATAACACAGGTACAATTAAAGTGCTGCATCTAATATAATGAGAATTGAAGTCAGTTTGTGTGCTTTCACAGGATAGAAATAACTTCAAAGATATTGGGAAAAAAGACAAAATGCCAAACACCTTGGACTGTGTACACAAGGGAGCCCATGTTTATATGTATTGATTTGAACTTTATTTATTTTTTTATTTTTTATTTTTATTTATTTATATGCCACCCACACTACCCAAAGGTCTCTGGGTGGCTTACAACAATAAAAATACAATACAATTTATAACAAATAAAATACAATTAAAATATATATAAAAATTGCCATCGGACCCACAGCTAATATTATTTCAATTAAAAGCCTTCTGGAACAGGAAGGTTTTGACCTGGTGCCGAAATGTCATCAGCGTCGGCGCCAGACAAATCTCAGTCGGATAGTCTTTCTGTTATAGTACTAAGCAATGTCAATTAGTACAAAAACAAGTGTGTAAAATTCTCCTGAGCTCAATACTTCTGTGTAACACAACAGGGCAGACTCCTTGAAACAGTCATAAAGACAAAGTATCTCAACAGGTTTCCATTAATCAATTATTTGCACACTCTTACTGAACAAAATGGAATAAAAATTCCAACTGATCCACAACAACTTGTTACTCTTATAAGAGGCACAATACTTAGGTTTTCTGTTTGGTTTTATTATACATTCTGAAACAGACTAACATTACTGTGTCTCTGAAAACTGCTACAATCAGGTAGTAGTTTATTAAAGGCAAAATCAAGGAGGATAGAGAGATATTAGGCAGTTTGGTTGTTTATGCTAGCAGAGTGCAACTAACCTTAGGCTAGTTTGTAACTGTTGAACAAAAGTAGATGCTCTAGGAAGTCTTAACTAGATAAAAAATAGAAAATACATTCATTGCTCAAGGGAGTTCATTCAAATATAATGCAAGAGGCAAGAACCCTATTTCCAAATATGGAAACCCTAATGTTTGCTTCCATTTGAGGGTCTGACCATAGGTGTTCCAGAAGAGGCCTACATGCTACAGTATTTCTCTCTAGCAAAAGAAAGCAATAATGAGAACAACTGCTAGTCTGACTTTGCAAGAAGGAGGAAGTGACTTCTTAAGAGCAGCAATCTGCATATCAAAAAGGGGTTGCTTGGGCAAGATAGACATGATGCCATAGATGACTGGGCCTACCTGGTTGGCTGGCTATGTATTACCGGTTCCCGTTCACCCTGGATTCAGGTTCATAGTTCTATATGTTAATGTTTTAAATTCAAAGACTTGACTTACACTCAATTGTCACTAGAAATTTTGACTACTTGGAAAAATAGTTTACTAGTCTTACAGCTAATTAGTAGTTAGGCCTTACAATCATACATATTTACTTAGAGCAGAATTCTGTCAAATGCACTGGAACTTAACAACTGAGCAAAAATGCATGAGAAACCTACTCACTGAACCCATGGAGACCTAAGAGGTCACAGAGCACTTCAGCATACACTTGTAGTAAAGTTAACCCAAGTGACATCGTGTAAAGGAAAAACATAAGGAAGTCATTCACAGACAGGTGCCCCAGTTCCATGGAGAACAAGTGAAATGAACTACATATGAGATGAAATGCATGAGTGGAATTGCTTGTCATGAAACAATGTGCAGGAAAAAAAATTACGCATGTGAGCCACAATCCTGGGAAAAAGGAAGATGTAAAATAAGATGAAATGGGTACATGGAAGAAAACTCCAATGATGAATCCTATTCATACAACTAAAGATAAAAATGTTAGCAGGGGCAAACTTTAAAAAAAAATCACTTCCTACTTCTGTCTCACAGCTCCTGTGTAATCTCTTTCATGATTTGAAAACTGGAAGCCACAGAATTGTGGACAGGAATTGTTTAATTACTGGAAATTGTTCTATCACCTTTTGAAAGCTTCACAATAGAGATGGGCACAAATCAGAAAAATGGTAATACGTTTTGATTTATGATTCATCAAGGTTGATGAAACAGAATTATGCATTTATTATTTTGGATGAATTGATTTGTCAATACTTTTTTCCCTTTAAAAACCTATAAAATGTTCCCCAGCCACCTAGAGACACCAAATTGACAAGGAAGTTTTTTTTTCCCTTTAAAAACCTATAAAATGTTTCCCAACCACCTAGAGACACCAAATTGACAGGGAAGTTTCCCCTGCAAGTTTGGTGAAGGTTGGGTTTTGGATGTCTGAGTTATCCACCCAAAAAGTGGGTCTGCCCAGGAAAGTGCCCTTTAGCGATCCACCTAGAGACACCAAATTGACAGGGAAGTTTCCCCTGCAAGTTTGGTGAAGGTTGAGTTTTGGATGTCCGAGTTATCCTGGAAAGTGCCCTTTAGCGATTGGCTTGGGGAAGCCCAATCTCCACAAAACTTGGAGGGATTTAGCGGAGAGTCATAGAAAGCTTCTCTGTGATTTTGGTGTCTCTAGGTGCCTGGGGCGAACTTTCCTGGGGGGGGGCTTTTTGTGCAAGTATAGCTTAGACATCTGAAGCCCAAACTTTACCACATTTGGAGGGATTGTAGTGGAGAGTCAAAGGAAGCTTCTTTGCAATTTAGGTGTCTCTATGTGCCTTGGGGTGGCATTTTATAGCCAAATGAATCAATGGATGAAAATTTGCTAAAAATCCATTGGGTGATTTGTCAGGGGCATTGATTCATATGAATACGAATCAACAAATTCACAATTTTTGAACAAATTTGGTGATTTGTTTTTTAGTTCATGTCTATCTCTATTCATGAACCACTTCTTCATATCTTTGGAAGAATTAGCTTCCTGGGGACCACATATCCTGGCTGTGTTTCTGAGATGACGTACTGATCAGTACATCAATACTCTCTAGGAGAATATTTAAGAGTAATACCTTGTAGCATGCATAACTTATCATTCAAGAGAGAGGTTTAATTGGCAGTTCCCTCTTTTTTATTACTAGGTGCAGCTAGAACTAATTGGGAGATGTTGTTCCGCTTTGTACAGAAAATCTGAGGTCTCATGCTGTTGTTGTTCCTGTTGCTGCTAACAATTTGCTTTATTTTTTTATATTGTGGGTTTTTAAAAATCTCACCTAGGTTATTAAATACGGAATGACTTTCTTTTCCCAAAATTGATGTATCTGTGTTCCTACACTTTGAAAAGCATGGAAAAATTCTAAAGAGGGCTGTCCTTTGGATTAAAGCTTTGTTTCAGTGTACACACGTGAATTAAGACATCAAGATGGACCTGTGGTATGGAGTTTCTGGCTCCCCACAAAGGGGTCCAAGTCACTGAGTTATCCAGCCAGCTAGCTTCCCTATACAGCCCTGGCCTGCACAGTACCAGGTCCAGATGAACCACAAAAGAAAGGAATGGTAAACAACTTCTGAATATTTTGACTACCCTGTATCTAGAAAATCCTGCAAAAGATTGCCATAAATCAGAATCAGCTTGATGGCACATTATTATTATTATTATTATTATTATTATTATTATTATTATTATTATTATTATTATTATAGTGCAATCATATAAGATTCTACTTAGAAGAAAAGTAACTAAGTTACTCCTGAGGTAAGAGGATATAGAATTGAAGCTTAAATTATTCTGCTCATTGGTACAAGTTGTGGAGTTTTCCACCGGATTGATTTCATACAATAATTTCTAGGACTGGTATGTACATCATTATAAGTACATTATATAATTACATAAAAGTAAGGAAGTATTTATATGACAAAACACAGATTTGGTTCTGTGTACCAGGTTATCTTAATTTAGGTACCTGCTGTTGATTTTTAAACCTTCTCTTAAGGATGACCCAAACTTAAATCCACTTTTGCAGAGCTTGGAAATTCCTTCTACAAAGGATGAATATATAAGGACATGCTGAAGTCATTCATGATTGACCACTCAGATGATGCTATGGGACTCAGGGCATCATTATGGATGGCTTTGGCATGCCATTATTAAATTCATTTTTCATGCTTTTCTCTAGCTGGTTTATGAAAGGCTCATTCATGACTGTAAAAGTTAAATTCAATCCTGCCAACAACTGAAAACCCAAAAGAGACTGTTTCTGTTTCTACATGCTCAGCCCACGTAGAAATTCCTGCCTGATTATGTTTGTAGAGATATGAGTGACTTGCATGAGCAAGCTTATGACCTGAAAATGTGCAGTCTGGTTCCAGGCATACTTACTCAGTAGGAAGGAAGCTCGGCTGATTTCAGTGTAGCTTACTCTCAACTAGTTTTGTGTAGAAACGTTGGTTTAATGTTGAAGGATGTGTTACTAGAATGTCACTTAAACAAGAATTTATGAATGGGACCTTTGCCCACCCCTTCAAAAACAAGGAAGTGGGGACGTTTTACAATGCTTTTCTGTTCCTTTTCACTTCTGCTTTC